TCTTTTGACAGGGTTATTGCTAAACTTCAAGATGCCCTCATCACCATTCAAACTTGGTGCACAGAGTGGAAAATGGCTATTTCACCCTCAAAAAGTGCAACTATTAATTTCTCTAACAAACGTCTGTCACCTACGATTCAGTTAACAATTTTTAACGAACGAATTCCCCAAGTTAATTCCATCAAAATTCTCGGCATCCATTACACTGCAAACATTTCTTTCCTCGGTCATTTTCAATACCTAAAAAAGAAATGTTTAAAAAAAATTAATGCACTCCGCTGCATCTCTAGCACTCAGTGGGGGTCTCGAACCTACCACCTCATTCAGATTGTAAATGCCACAATCAGAAGTATCTTAGAGTATGGCAGCCCAATCCTCTTCTCTGCGCCAAAATCACATCTCCGAGTAATTGAAACAATCTACAACTCTAGCCTCCGCGCAGCAACGGGCCTCCCACGATGGACTCCAATTCATATCCTCCACAGAGAAGCCGGCACTACCTCAATCTCACACAGACTTGTTTTAGCAGCTAAAAAATTCTACCTCCGTCACTGTTCCCTTGGCTCTCACTCCCCAATAAATCGCCTTTTGCATAAATTCCATTTTACTAGACTTAAAAAGAAACCCCACCTTTTCCTCAAATTTCAGGACATCTTCAGCCAAAAAGGCATAAGTAAATTCAATATCATCCCCTTCCACATTCCAGTTTTCCTCACAGATCTCCCGAACCTCTGTCTTTTTGTACACGATCTTCCTTTTCAAACTACGAAAAATCCCAACGAAATCCTCCCTCTCTATCAGGAAACCCTCCACACCCTTTGGAAAGACTTTGTCATCCTGGCTACCGATGCCTCAAAATCCAGTACGAACACAGGTATTGCGGCTATTAACTCAAGGAACAACATGTCTTATATCTCTCAAATCCATCCTATTAACTCAGTTTTCACCGGAGAAGTTTTAGCGATTTGGTTAGCAGTCACAAAATTCACTACCGAGTATCTAGATTACGTTATTTTATCGGACAGTAAGTCCGCAATCACTGCCCTCATCTCAGCCACCCATAAATCCCCTCACAGCATCCTCCTCTTACAAAACAAGATAGTTTCAGCAAGTGCAAAAGTGAAATCAATCACGATCGCCTGGACACCAGCACACGTTGGCATCCCCCCCAATGAAACCGCTGATAAGCTGGCCAAACACGCCACCAATGCCCCTCGAGCCATCCCTTTTATCTCACCTGAAGACTTGTCATATTCAGCAGTTTTAGACTCAAACCGCGAATTCAGTAACCTCCGGACTAATTCAAAATACCACAAGCGTTTCCCCTTTGATCACCCTGTTAATAAAACTTCCCTCAATCAACTCCCAAACCGAAAATACGATATCTTAATCTCGCGTCTCCGAAGCAACACAATCCAACTTAACGAAATTTATGCAAAAATAGGGCCCGTAGACTCCCCTTTGTGCGACCATTGTCAACTTCCAGAATCTGCTATCCACCTCCTCTTTGAATGCAAAAAGTTCGAGCATCAGAGACAAACACTGCGCGCCTCAATCGGAGTTTTTCCACTCTCCCTTCACCGTCTTCTTAGTTATAACCAATACGATAATCTTCTCAAAAATTTAGTGGATTTTGTAATTTCAACTAAGCGTTTCTAGCCTCCAGTTTTCAAATCCATAATTAAATGCAGTTACTAATTTTTAAGTTTTAGTTTAGGCCTCTCTGAGCGCCTGGGAAAAAGAGTATGTTTTTCTTATTTTTTTGTTTTGATGAACGTGTTTCTCCAAAAGTATTGGAACCACCAAATGCTAGTTTTTAATTTTTTCTAATCTTCCTCTCCAAAAGTGTTTTGGAAAATATTTAATTTTGATCTCTACTGTAAACTTGTTTCGCTTCTTCAAGAACAGCGTACACTCTCATCACCTCATCGTCATCATCTTCAGCATCAACAACTCAACTCACAAAAATACACCTTACAGCAAGGGGGATAAAAGCGAGTAGCAGAGATCCCCCCCACATCATCATCAACAGTCAACAGTCAAAACTACTACTACTGTGTTATACTCTATTTTGAATTTTAATTTATTTTTAATTAGTCACGCAGCTTTTGTGACTTTATCATTTTCCCGGAAAATAAAAGTGTTTATTTTTATCTTGTGATTGTTTTGATGTTGTCTTTGGTTCCGTAAAAATGTAGGAACGCTATGCCTCGTTCCCACAGTACTTTTGTGAGAGACGGGCTTCACGCTTGCGTTTGCGAACGGAATTCTTTCGTTTTTCCGTTTGTGTGTAACGCTTAAGGAATTCCCGTCTACGTTCTTTGGCTTTGGCTTTTTCAGCCTCGGTAAGTTTAGGCCTTGGCATCGTTTTTTTTTCTTGCTTTAACTCTAACTTTTGGGACCATGTCAATCAGTTTGGGCCCTCTTTATTTGTGATATTCACCTGAATGAGTATTGAAAATGTTCCAGTTTGAATTGTAAGTTAGAATTTCTGATTCTTAATTAGAACAATAAAGACAAAAATTTCTTTAAAATGAGGAAATTCTCTTTTATTCACAACTCAAGAGTCCCGCAGTGGACTGATCATTAAGACACGGTTCCCAGCAGATCACCGAAGTCAAGCATCACTGACTGCGGTCAGTGTGCGGGTGGGTGACCACTTGGATCAGTCTGCGTAGGGACCGAGGGTGTGCGGTATTGGTCCTCGCTAAACTGTTCTACCGTAAAGTGCTCGACTTCGCGTGCAGGTCGTCGGGCTACCGAAGCGGGGGTGCCATCCCCTCTGTAGAAGATCAAAATTGTGATGGCATGTCTTCGGATCATCCTCAGGGATGTTTCCCAGACCGTCGCCAATAGTCCATTATGCAGCTCTAGTGCTACGTAAATGAACAACAATCACAACTGAAGAAGTATTTATGGGATCTCTCTTGTCTCAAAAATAAACTTAATGTATACGAAAATTGCCATAGCAACGCATGCACACTCTTGATTATTGTAGTTGAAGACATTGAATCCAAACCAAGAACCATTTTGCTAATTGGTAATAAAATAAATTAACCCTTGAACGGTATTGCTCTGCAAAAGACGAAATGCGCGGGGAAGTATAAAAGCGATAACATTAGAGGCGACCTGTGTCAGCTTGGCCGTGAAAATCGCGTGTTAGCAACTGGCGGACCTAAGGGTTCTGGGTTTGATCCCAGTAAATTGTTCATATTTAAAAAATAATAAATCATGAAAATAAATGTCTTTCATGTGTTTGTTTTACAATATTCTACCATAAATACACGTTTTTTTTTTCATAATTTATTATTTTTGTTTCTATGAGAGAGAGAAAAAAGTTTAAAATGGAGGATTGCTGTTCATACATATAAACCCATATATCCCCTTAATATTTGCCTGTAATTTTGAAACTCGGCCAGGTATTACAGTATAATATACTATGAAACCGTAACAAAGGAAATAATTATAAATAAATTAGGCTGCCCAAATAAGATATAGTGTTTCAAAAAAAATGTGCAGGATAGTATTTAAAGCGTACTATAGGGGTAGAAGCTGTGTCACCGTTGCCGTCGCGTGTTAGCAAGGAGCGAACTGGTGAGCCCACGGATGCTGTGATCAATCGCAATAAATTGTCAGTATTTAGAAGAAGAAAAAATCTCAAAAATAATTTTTTTACGTATTTATTTTGCAATATTCTAAAATAAATAAAGTTTTTTCCCCCCTGAATTACTATTATTTCGTTTATATAAGAGAGGAAAAAGGGTTTAAAATGGAGGAAATGCTGCTTTGCTATGAATATTATTTTTTACCCAAGCTTATTACATTAATTTAATGATAGTGGTATCAAGATTAAAGATATGCGTTGGAAGTCCCTTTTACTATTACACTAAAAATGCATTAACTTCTAACCGTAAACTTCTTTTTTATTGTCTGATCTTGATTGCTTAATCAACGGAATAAAATTAGATATTCCTCTCTTGAATGTAACTTATTAGCCCCCAATTTATGATCCAATCTTTTCAAAATTTTGTCTATCACCCGTATTTTGAGGGTCAAAAATCCAAACATGTTAAAAAATAGATCTGTGTTTAATCAGAGAAAGTGCGTTTTTGCGTCTGATTTCGTTTTGTGTTTGATTTCGTTTTGTGTCTGACTTAATTAATAGTTAGCTGTAATTAATTAGCATGTTTGAAGTCACCACCAGAAACCATTAATATTGACAATCCAATCAATAGAACGAAAGTTATTCAGAGTGATATCTTTTTTCTTGCCCACTGTTGCGGTTATCCGGTATAAGACCAGGATTTCATTAGCCGGTTATTGCCTCAACCCGGCAACTACCCGTTCTCAATACCTGTTACTAAAAATTGTTTAGTAAAATGCTTATATCGAGTAATAACCGGTTAATGACAATCTGACCAGGTACCTGGTTCATCCCTAGGAATCAGATTAAAATTTAGGAGATGGAGCGTTCGCCTCTCAATGAGATGACCCAATTTCGAACACCAGCGGTGGCTGTTGATAAATTCTACTCTCAGCTCGCATCGGCAACAGTGATCCGCTTGATCCTTTGTCTTCTGGGCTCGATTCAAAATTACAAGGCTACGGAGTCAAGCATTGATAGTCGTAAACTCAGAATTCAATTATTTTAATTTTATTTAATTATTATATTTTCAAAAAACATTTATTATATTTTCAGTGTAAGTTGATTTTAGTTTGATATTAAAATAAAGCATGTATGAATGAAATCGGTCATTGGTAACTGTAAATTTTTTTTTTTGTAAGTTAACTCAATAGATTCGATTTTCAACTCAACTGGTTAAAAGCTCTTCGTACTGTCGGACTAACCTTGGAAGGTTTTCATGAGCAACATTAAACAAGGTAACATTAAGGACAACAAAACCTTTCTATGAATCTTTTGTTCAACACAGTTCATAAGTCAAAAATTTTTGACTGAGTAACGAAAAATTTAAGGGCTAAATTAATTAAGCTTGAAAGGAGTGTTTAAGAAGATAAACATGGCTCAAAACGTGCCTTTAAAAAGAGATCTAGCATTTGGTTCTGTTTTTAAAACTTCTCTAAGAATTTGTCTTTTTAAAGGAATAAACGAGTGAATCCATATAAATTCATAAATTGATCGTCCATTTATTTTAATCACTTAGTCCCGCAAATCATCCCATAAATCACTTAGTCCGGCAAGACACGATCCCTAGAAGAATACCGAATCACTGACTGCGGTCAATAAGAATATGTGGTCACACTCTGATCAGCATGCGTGGGGACCGAGGGTGCGTGGTATTGGCTCTCGTTAAACTGTACTGTGAAGTGGTTGCGAGCAAGCTACAAAAATGGATTTCCTCTGCACAGAATTATGATGGCAGGCCTTCGGATCATGCTTGGGGATGTTTCCAAGTTCGTTGCTAATAACCCATTGTGAGCCGTGGTGGCTCAGGGGATAGAGCGTTCACCTTCCAATGAGAACCGGGTTCAAATCCCAGCTATAACTGGTCGATTCGAATTCCGCACTCGGCTTGCACTGACCACAGTGCTGACGTAAAATATCATCAGTGGTAGATGGATTATGGGTTTGAGTTCTCTTGTTGTCAGGTTAACTGAGGGAGATTTTCGTGGTTTTATTCTCCGTGTAACGCAAATGCGAGTTAGTTTTATCTAAAAGTTCTCCACGAAGGCAAATTTCTACCGATACTTGATCCAGGAGTTCCCTTGTCTTCTGGATTGGGTTCAAAATTTCAAGGCTATGGAGTTGAACATTAGTAGTCATAAACCCAAAAAATTGAGTCCATTGTTCAACGACAGTTGGAAAATAAAATAATAACCCATTGTACTGTTCTAGAACAACGTAAAAAAAGTATCCACCTATCTAAGAATAATTTTTAAGAACTGGGAAGTTATTTTTACAAGGTTGTTCCAGGTTTAATAAATTGATAAATTGACGTTGTACAAATTTAGATTTTTATAAACCACTTTATCGTTTAGTGTGCTGAATACGAAAAGATTAGGCCCAACATGGAATTTGGAGCACACTCCAAACTGTTCCGACGTTGCTGAACAAAAGTTAAATCGGTTTCCATCTTAAGAGGACGTCCACCTTCATAAGGGATTCAAAATATAAAGTATCGAAAAATTAAGATCAGGAAAAATAGTTTCAAATACTGAAATGAAATTTTCAAAATATCAAAAAATAAACACTTTATGAGAGGATAACTTAGGAACCGGGAAGTTGTCTTTCAATAATTTGATTGCATTTTAATTTTTTCAAAAAAAATTATTTTTTTTTTTTAACAATTCAAAATTTTTGACTTACTTAAGGTGTGCCAGAACTATGCTTGAAATTACACTATCGTATGAAATTAAGAGAATTTGCAGACGATTATCTCTAGAACTTTTGGACCAATTTTAATGAAATTTGTAATGTACTTACTTTGATACAATACGAAACAAATAACCAGTTAACAATTGTTTTACACATCTTGCGTTATACTCGTTGGAGTTGGAAGGTATGAAATAGCTGTTGCAGAATAAACAAAGAAAATAGGTTAATAGGAAGTATGGTCCCCTCTTACACCATGATTTCATACTTGAAAAAAGGCAGTTTATCACTTACCGTGGCTTGATTTGTCCTGTGGCAATTTCAAATCCGTTCAGTAGTTCTAGAGATTATTGTCTGAAAATTGTCTTAATTTCTAACACTAGTGTAGTTAAGGAGGTGGTACTGAACTTGCGAAGAAATGTTACTCCCAAGATACTCTTAAGAGATGTTCTCTTTCTGTTATACATAAACAATTTTGTATAGAATTGAAATGTTGAGAATACAAATTTTTCATTTTAATTCAAAATATTTTCCATTGCTGAATCGACAGTATTCTTTTCTTCACTTTTCCATCAAAATAAAAGAGGCAAGATATACATATAAAGTTCACATTTAGAAAATTAAGAATTTGACTGGCGAATTTAAAGAATCACATCACATTCAGTAGGAACGTTCCATTAATTTATAAAAATTGCGAATTGCAATTCATTAATTATTACGCTTAATTTCTAGTTTTATTTTCTGAGGAAAAATATATTAAATTATTAATAAAATAAACTGTAAAACAACTAACAACCGTTAAAGATTAACTTCTCAAAAGTTTAAAAAATATTGGAGCGGGCCGCAATAGCTCTGCGTCACTGAATAGACCGTTCGCCGGAAACTTTTTATCTGTAATAAATCCCGCAATCCCGACCCCGTAAAAATTATACTTAGTGTTTAGGGGATAGAGCGCTGGCCTCTCAATGAGGTGCCCTGGGTTCGATCCCAGCGATCCTGGCTGATTTGAATTCCGCATTCGTCTCACATCGACCACACTACTGACTTAAAAATATTTTTAGTGGTAGACGGATCATGGGTTATTTTAAAAAAAATTCGTGAGTTTGTAATAAAAGATAATATTTGTCTTAACCTCAGTAAATTTCTTTTTTTTTCACAGATAAAACTTTGTTATCGAATTATCATCCTTTTCTACTATTATTATTATTATTAATTTTATTTTATATCGTTGTAATCTTTATCATTGTTCTTTAACGCTGTTTTTCGAAGCCCTGTCGAAAAGAAAAATTCTGTCGAAGCTGTGGCATTCGGTGATCAGAACACCACAGTTTAAGTCCCTTGCACTTGTAGCGATGATTTTAAACTATATATATATATATATATATTTTATTTTAAACCGTCGTTGAACAGCCGACCCAAATTTGTGAGTTTACAACTATTAATGTTCAACTCCGCAGCTCTCTAATTTTGAACACAATTTAGGGAACTTCTGGACAAAGTATTGGGAGAAATTTGTATTTGTGGAGCACTTTTGATCGAACTAACTTGTTGTAATTTGCGTTACCCAAAGAGGGAAACCACGGAAAAAATCCCCTTGTTAGCCTGATGGCAAGGGGTCTCTAACTCATGATCCATCTAAAACTGAGGATATTTTACATCAGCGCAATGGGTGGTGCAATCCGGATGCGGAATTCGTATCGACCAGCCATTGCTGGGAATCGAACCCAGTTCACCTCTTTGGAAGAAGAACGGGCTATCCTCTGAGCTATCACGGCTCAAACTATATATACAATCTTGCCGTGAAGAAGTATCTGGGCGTCAGAACGGATAAATAACTTAAATATTATAAAAGTTATTAAACGTTTTATTCGAAAATCTCCAATTTGGTGACATTTTTCCACCTAGAGGAGAATTATCAAAATCACTGCCTCATTGTCAGTTTTTTTTTCTTCAAATTTTTAAGAGTCCACGTAATGCACCATTGGAGTAAGATTTTAAATATTAAAAAACTAGACTACTAATGCTTTTTCACAAAACTATGGTTCTTCTCCATATTGAGGTTTTGAGTCATTGTGAATATAAGCGTAGTCAGCTTTAGATAGACTAAATTTGACCAAACAGTATTGGCTGCAAACTCACAACAGTTAACAAAAATAGTACATTATTTGCAAGAAAGCATAATTTCCCATTACGACTGAGCCATCGAAAAACAGCCTTATCTATGGAAATGCTAGAGGTATCAGACTTATTTTTTTGCAATTACTCTTTGATTTTTCTAACAACTTTTTTATTTATTTAAGTTCTGCACATAATCATAATTCTGGGATTCCTTTTAGGTACGGGAGTACAGAGAAGGCAAAGAGAAGTCCCAGGCCATGCGAGACATCCACGCATGGTATGCTCAGGAGGAAAGAAAGAGAGCCCAGCTGTACCAGAAACGCAAGGATGAGGAGGAAGTGAAAAGGAAAAACGAAGAACGCCAGCGCATAATAGAGGAGGCCAGTGCGATAGCCACTCGTCTAGCCCACGAGCAAACCATAGTCCTTACAAACAGATTTATCGATAGGATGTCTCAGGGAGCTTCGTTCGAGGAAGCAAGAAATCAGCTGGGTACAGATATAGAGGAGAGGTCTGAAGAGCTAAGAAGATCGATCCAGGATTCTTTAAACCAGTCTTTCCCTCCGGAAGAAGTAGAAGTTGTCTCGTCTCTTGTTTCTTCCCCACCTGGATCGCCAATTCACCAGCCTACACCACCAGTCCAGCAAGAAGACCAGGATTTGACACAGTCACCTCAGGGGGCACCATCACCTTCTCCAGCGACACCTCTCCGTTCTGTTACTCCACCACCACAGTCTGTCCCACCTGCTCCAGTACAGCAGTCACCACCTCCGGCTGTTCAGCAGTCTCCACCTCCGGCTGTTCAGCAGTCTCCACCTCCGGCTGTTCAGCAATATCCACCTCCGGCTGTTCAGCAGTCTCCACCTCCGGCTGTTCAGCAGTCTCCACCTCCGGCTGTTCAGCAGCCACCGCATCCATCTGTTCAGCAGCCACCACCTCCAGCTGTCCAACAACTACCACAAAGAAGAAGACCAGGAAATCCGGGAAGACGGAGTACGAGGTTAGCGATGCTTACAGAGGCAAGCCTAGCTTTCCTCAAGGTGGGACCATACATCGACCGTCTGAGAACAAGGCCTCTAAAATCCAGCTATTATACAGCTTAAATGCTTCTTTCATTTTTTAAATCCGCCGGTTCCTTTTGAGACATCCCTTGACGCATCTTTTGAGACATCCTTTGACGCATCTTTTGAGACATCCTTTGACGCATCTTTTGAGACATCCTTTGACGCATCTTTTGAGACATCCTTTGACGCATCTTTTGACGCATCTTTCGACACATCTTTTCCTCCTCATCAAAAATTTTTAAGTGGTGGTGGTAAAAATAAGTTTTTAAACACGCAAAAGAAAATGAAAAGCTCTTTCAAAATATCCAGTCTCCAGCCTCTTTCATCCAATATTTTTTTCAAAACTTCATCTCAGAGTCTTGACGTTGAGTCAAATATCAAACAAATCGTCATCTACTGATCACTAGACTTCGTAATCTACTGATTCTACCTCTTCGTCATTTACTCATTCTGCCTCATCGTCTTCTACTTCGTTATCTCTTTTCAAGATGGTGGTAAAAAAATCAAGTACCTGAAATTTTCTCTTTTCATTATCTTCTAGAATTTATTATCTATCCCATTACTATATGCCAAGAATATTGGTCTTAGACTCCATTCCTATGCCTCAGAAAAATCAAATCTTTAAAACACATGTATATAGCACGTGACAAGATCCAAAACTATAATCTCGTACAAAAAATTCGAATTGAAACAATTTATCTTGTCCGCACATGACCCTAACAGTCATGACCTGATGAGAATAAAAACAACTGGACTTTTTGAAAAAAATCAGGAGCCTTAAAATCACAGTCAATTAAAATAGAAGCGACTACCTGTCCATTGCTAAGGAACTACCATTGACTGCTGTCCATTGATTGGAACTGTCCATTGCTTGTCCATTGATTGGAACTGTCCATTGCTTGTCCATTGGAAGGAAGGTTCGAAAGAAACCCGTAGGTGAAAAACCACAGCTGATCCATATGCTGATGTTCTAGTAAACACGTTCAATTGAAATAGAAGCGATAACCTGTCCATTGCTAAGGAACTTCCATTGATTGGAACTGTCCATTGCTTGTCCATTGGAAGCAAGGTCCGAAAGAAACCCATAGATGGAAAACCATAGCTGATCCATATGCTGATGTTCTAGTAAAGATGTTCAATTAAAATAGAAGCGACAACCTGTCCATTGCTAAGGAACTGCCATTGATTGCTGTCCATTGATTGGAACTGTCCTGTGCTTGTCCATTGGAAGGAAGGTTCGAAAGAAACCCGTAGGTGGAAAACCACAGCTGATCCATATGCTGATGTTCTAGTAAACACGTTCAATTGAAATAGAAGCGATAACCTGTCCATTGCTAAGGAACTTCCATTGATTGGAACTGTCCTGTGCTTGTCCATTGGAAGGAAGGTCCGAAAGAAACCCATAGATGGAAAACCATAGCTGATCCATAAGCTGATGTTCTGAAGTCTACTGTTGAGGTGCTTATTTGACATTAATCACTGACACCAGTTCGTGAAGGAATAATTAGAGGGAAATCTCTATCGAATAAATAAGAAGGTAAGCTTAATTATCTTCCAGAGGCTTTTAAATTATTTTGCGAGTTAAGTTTTAAATTTATTAAAACTAGTTTAATTCATGCTAATCCTATCCCGATGAGGTAAACCTGGTTTGAATCACAGCGTTTGCTGGTCTATATCGGTGCTGCCGGCTAGCACCGATCACATTGCACAGTGGTAGATGGATCCAAATGCCCCAGTGGTAGACGGATCTTGGAATCCCTTTGCATTAGACTAACTATGGGATGTTCACGTGGTTTTCCTCTGCATGTAACACAAATACTGGTTAGTTCTAACAAAAAGTCCACAAAGGCTAGCTTGCCCCAAAGCACGATCTTGGAGTTCCCTTGTCTTCTGGATTGGGTTTAAAACTACAAGACTACGAAATTGAACATTGAAAGTTGTAAAATCAGGGATGGGCTATTCAACACTGGCTATAAAATAGTTCTTTTTTTTTTAAAATATATTTATAGATTTTTAAAATTATATATTCTTAGGTTAACTTTCCTAATGGTTAAAGTAAGCAGCAGAAAAATACAGTGAACAGAATGAGTTTCGTGGGAGTATATATCGTCTCCAGAAATTTAAGGCTTTGGAAATCATATGAAAAAGAAAAGTTGCTGAGAGGAAAGTAATTGCTTTAAATTTCACGCCAATGTTAGAAAAATGCTAAAACTGGACACTATTCAATAATAGAACTTCTTAATTTTGCCATTTTTTGTTAAGAACTTTTTTTAAATATGTTTTCGTATGATCATTTGCGAAATTCTTCATCAGGATAGTTGCTAAAGAAAAGTGTTTAAAAATGTGATACTTTAGAATAAGACTGAACTATTTGAGATTTAAATCAACACTTTCCATACCATTAAAGTTTAAAAAAGTGAAAATTTAGTTTTTTTTTTCTCATTTGTTAAAGCAGTTTTCTTTATTCAATTTAAACTATATCATTCTGTTCATTATTTCATATACAGTCAAATTATTAGACGCATTATAAGATTCTATGTAAAATCTTAAATATCAGGTGATACTCTATACAGCATTATTATTCACCCTTATTCAAGGATGTGATTCTTCAGCGGATTTCCGCTTTTTTTTTCTCCAGATTTTTCCATTTTTCCCGCTAATTTCAGCGGGAATTTTTTTTTTTTTTTGCACAAGTTAAAATATGTTATGAGGAATTTAATTTTCCTCGGAGCGAAAGTATTGAAGTCTTCATTCCTCCCTTTTGAAGTTTCTCTAAAAATCATTTCCTTGAGATAAAACTGGTTGACCTTAATACAGGGATGAGATTTTTCCGCTTTTTAGCGGATCTTTGCTTTTATCTCTTGAATTTCAGCCTTTTTTTTTTTCATCAAAAACTCCGATTCTCTAAAAGTTTTTTTTTTTTTTAATAAATATCCCGCTTTTTTAAAAAAAATCAGTCGTTGAAATAAAATAATTATATTTATTTACGGTTTTCAAAGATAAACAGAAAATTCAAACTACGTACTAGCTGCTAACCCTTCCGCATTTTTACTTATTTTAACTATTTTCTCCGCTTTTAGGCACAGAAAATAAAAGATTTTCCGTATTTTTATCCGTCCGCCGGATAGCTCGTATTTTCGTAATTCAGACGTTGCTGCTTCCTGGCGTGAGCAAATGAGGAAAAAAAAAATAGAGGTGGAATTGCGGTGAAAATATTTGCTCATTCAATTAATCTTGTAAATTTTTATTTATCTCTAAACAATACAAACAAGCCTTTAGGAAATCCCAAATCCAGACTCTGCAAATATCTCGATTCTTATTCACGCGATTTTAATATTAATTATCGATTTTCGTATTTACCTGATTTCAAAGTTGCGCATTTTGATTCTTATTTACGCTATTTAAATATCGCACAATGCGATTCTTTTTTACGAGATTTTAAAATCCAATATCGCTATTTGCATTCAAGCGCTTTTAAAACCTTATGTAGCGATTCGTATTCATGCGAGCTTTAAGTCCAATGTTGTGATTTGTATTTGCGGTTGTAATATCAAAAGCAACGATTTTATTTATACGTGCTTCAAAAATTATGCATCGTGATTCGTATTTACATAATCTAAAAATTACGCATCATGATTTGTATTTTCGCATTTTTTAAGTTCGATGCAGAGTTTCATATTCACGTGATTTAAAACCTCATATCGGGATTCATATTCTCTCAATTTAAAATCATGCATGTGATTCATATTCATACAATTATAAAATTAATCATCGGGATTTATAATCACATGGTTTGCAAGTTTAAAGATAGTTCTTTTTCTTTTGTCAAATTTGTGTGTGTGTGTATATATATATATTTGTTGTAATACAAATTTGTTGTAATCTTTAGAACCATTTTCTTAAAAAAATTTTTATATACCAAGGGAAAAAAAACTACTTTTAACAAAACATATTACGTAAGATTTCTTTTTAACTAGTGCTTGTGGTTGCCTCATCGCCTCGCTATGGAAAATGTATTTGTATTAATAATGTATGTGAATGCGTCATAATGTAATTTCAAAAGAGAAAACCTAGTTGATATTCACAAGAGACGTACCTTGATATAACCTTAAATCCGTCGCATTGTCTGTGCGATTGTTTTCACTCATTTTTAACAATTGTTATCCACTAAATTTGATAATAAAAAATACTATCCTATTAAATTATATGTGTATCAAATCAAACTAAAAAAATATTTATAGACAAACAATACTTTTATGACTTTTATTGTTTTTATGCTAGTGAGAACCAAAACAATATGGAAATGAATGAGGGAAAACTGGATCCTACCACGTGATTTCCCGGCCAATAAAAATGAAGCGTTAAACGTTTAACGCAACCTTGTTGGAAGTCGCATAAGAAGTATAACTTCAAAAATAATGAAAAAAGTTTCATAAATTGGCGTTTAACTAAATGGTTTACTCATTTGGTGAATGATGACTATACGCAGCATTTTATTTCTTAAATAAATTATAATTTTTCATACACGAAATTTTTTTTGTCTTAATAAAATGTGAACATATTTCAATGAAAATAATACCATATTTTATCAAATTTTTATGCTTGGCTGGAAATGGGTTAAAATAATTTACTTGAATAATAATTCAATTGATTTTTCAGAAACCAGATGCTTTACTGATATTTTTTTCAGTGTTCCTTAAACTTTTCCCCCAATAAATGCCTAATTAAATCCTTTTTGTATAGTGTTTTTTTATGATATCGATTTGCCTCTCCTGGCCTCATTACTTTTAACACACTTTCAATATAAATTGCATATTATTATCTGGAACGTTTTTCTTTTTTTAACTCTGTGTTTAATTTTTTTTTCTTCTTGGCATTCAATTTTAATCTTATAAAAAAAATATTTCTTCTTTTAGAACATGAGAAGTAAACTGGATGCCGTTCAAGGGTTAAAGATTGTTATTTTCCACCATCCAATGTGAGGTGACGTCTGACCATGATGTAGAATCCTGCAGTATTTGATGACCGTTCCCACTGAA